TACAAAAGGTACCCCAGCAACTGCAGCTTTGAACAAATCAGGCCTCATATTTAGAACAGCACCAATAAGCAAACCCCCAGCACTTCTTCCATCAATGCACAGTTTTTCCTTTGAACAGTATTTATTCTCGATCAAGTATTCAGCACAAGAAATAAAATCCGTGAATGTATTCTTTTTCTTCAATAACTTTCCATTTTCGTACCACTGCCTCCCCATTTCACCACCTCCACGAATGTGAGCTATTGTATAAATAAAACCTCTGTCTAACAAAGATATCCTTGATCCCTTGAAACTAGGGTCTATGCATATCTGTTCAAAGAATGAAATTCATATCAAGACCATGTCCATGTACAATCATTGTTGCAATTGACAAGAAGAAAGTACACGGAAAGATTCAGGTACAAGGTCATGTCCTATGCAAATAATTAAGATCGGTAAATTGGCAACTGGAAGAGATCATAATTATAGCAAAAACTAGGAAATCAAAATGGAACATAGATCGTCAAAGAATGTATTACAATGCATAAATAAATATTTCCGAATTGAAAATTTTGATAAATCAATTAACATAGGAAAATAACTTTACATTAATTAAAGCTCCATCAACAAAACTCTGATCCACAGGGGGAGGCCCCAGGAAACAAAAACACTTACTTTAAAATAACTTCAAAATCCTGAAATCTGTCTAGAATCTGATTAACACGGGTCTTTTTACCTCATAAGAACCATAGCCGTAAAGTAGAAGTGGGTCTGAACCATCAAGTTTCACTAGATCCTTTCGATAAACAATTGATAGGGGAACTTTAGTGCCATCTAGAGCAGTTGCCCATTTCCTCTCTGTCACATATTTATTAGTATCAAAACCTCCCAACACCTGATAGAAGTCGTGAAAATATCACTATGTTACAGACAAATAAATAAATTCAAATCCCCAGGTGGGGGAGGGAAAAGTAAGAATTCTGGATTTGCGAGACAACAGGAATTCTCAAGTATAAAAAAGTGGATAATGAAAAGGCATGACTTCAACAAACAGACAGAGAAGGTTTCTGTAAATTATTACAAAATTATTTACATAAGGGAATAACAATCTTAAGTATAAAAAGTGAAAAAAGAGAGTAAAAGAACGTACAGAAAGCTGAAGAAATTTGCAATGGTTTTAAAAAGACTAGATAAATAACAGATAGAAATTTGTATTTGGTTTATACATATATATAGATAGATAGATAGATATTTTTTTTTTCTTTTGACAATCATTTAAACCTAGAGGCAATCCCGGTCATAAGAGAAAACAACATAACCATGATTTGCGGAACTACTCACTGTTTCAACTTTCTTTAGAATGGAAACTCCTGATGTCATATCATAGTCGTATGTAGAGGGGGGTGTCCTCATTGAGCTGTAACAAAACCGTAAAATACTGGAAGAGAATTCTGATTCTGATAAATCCACTGAATAAGTCGCATCAGTAAAATCCACGGCTCGTCCACCTTCAAGGCTTCTAAGTGGTTCTCCAATATCAGGAAGACTATAGACAACAATTTTTGGTAGACCATCTTCACGTTCGAATACAACGATGTGGTTAAGAAACAGTTGTATGTCCTGGATTTTCACACTGGACAGTATTCAAACAACTTAATAAACCCCAATGACAAGCTCGTTACCTCGACTGGTTGCAGGAAATAATAGAGAGAGATATTGAAACATAAGCTAATTAAGAAGCTTTCAACAGTTTTAATAGACAAAATCAAATTCACAGCACAATAGGAAGTTCATTTTTGTGTTGAAACCTAAATCAAAATAAGTACCAAGTGTCAGGCAAAGTGAACATGAAAATCCTAATTATAGTTGATACAGATCAGTTGGGTCTTTCACTTTATAAAAATAGCTGCTCTAACATATTTCCAACAAATAGAATAAATAAACAGCAAGTTCATACAAAAATATGTTTTCAGGCTAGTTGATTCAAGTCATTAACTATCAGCTCATCACTTACAATTTTGTTTCAACTTCACATTATACCATCAGGTCCATCATAAAGTATCATAAGAGAATACAAATCACTACCTTTCCCTGTGCGGAAGAAGAACCGTTGTCGCTGATATATTATCGAGAGGGCAAGCTACTACTTCTGAATTGAAAATCTCTTCACTTCGTCTCCGGATAAAAAAATGATTTCCACGGTGACTGGGAAAAGTGTCAACTCCATCCACTCTAGGTGTCAAGACAGTAAGCCCATCTTCTGGCCTTGATACATCAAGGTAAAAGTTGAACCTAGTAAACTTACTTTCAGATGCAATAAACAAATATTTCTTGCTCTCAGAAGCTTGAAGATCGAGAGAGAACATGTCATCCTTTTCATGATAAAGGCAGGTGTCCGTTGACTGCTCTGTTCCCAGTTTATGTAACCATGCCTATTGAAAGGGGAGAAAATTTACTAGATCAACATCTAAAATTCTGACACGTTGAAATGAAAATTTTAATGTGAAGTTTGACCATAATATTTATGGGAACATCAGAATGCAGATACTGAATCTATTTTCACCCAACATATGCACTCTGAGCAGTGCTCTTTACAACTATAAAAACTCTTCTGCTCCCACTCTTCTGATATAAACTTATTAGGATATTATAATCTATATCAGTATTACAAAAGAGAAACTAGAGGAATTGCAAACTGTTCTAATGGTATAGAGGACATCTTCTTTTTAATTAACGAATTTACCTACTATTTGATTAGAAGTCGATTCTGAATGCACAGAACAATCAACAAGGATATTGGGTATGATAGGCCACAGGAACTAAATGATTGTTAGTGCTTTTCCAATGAGAGAACCACAGTAAAATCGATGAAAAATACAGAAGATCACCTTATCAGGTCGAAGAATCTCATCCATTGTGATGTAAACTAAAGCGTCATTGCCAGCCCATTTGAGATACGATGTCACGCCTGTAAGAGGTTTTCCTACAGGAGCTCCAGTCTCGGCATCAATAACATAGACCTTGTAGATTTCATCTCCTTTAGTGTCTTCTGCATACGCCACTAGCTTGTTGTTTGGACTAACCTAGAGAAGAAATGGCCGTAATGTAAACATCCTTAAATTAAAAATTCGTCTAAGAGAAACAGGATCAAATTCGGAAGCAGATCCGCGCCTACAATACCTCAAAGGCACCAATGCAGTAGTAGGATTGGTTCTGTGCCTTATCGTTTTCGTCCAATATAACATGCTCCGGAGGAGCACCAGGTCCAGTAGGCATGACATCGTGCACAGAGACAGCTTCTTCACCACGGGGTACAAAACGCCTGCAATATTGAACATATTCTTTCCCGTCTAGAGTCCTCTTATAGTAATAGTAAGGACCTTTTCTCTCAGGCACAGATATATCATCCTCCTTGATTCGTCCTCTTATCTCACCATAAATCTGTTCTTCCACTTGCTTAGTTCCTAGATCGATGAATAAAGAAAAACGCACACATTCATCGAAATATCCTCATTTACAAATCATCAGAAATCGATAGATAGATCAAACGACAATACTCCTATTCATTTCTTATAAACTACCAGTAAAAATTCAAGAACCAAGATGAAATGTAAACTATAGTTCACCGGACATGACGAAATCAGTATAGGCATTCTCCTGCTGCAAGTACGAAATGACATCGGCATTTTTGCGAGAATCGTCGCGCAACCAGTAATAATTGTCGATCCTTACATCCCCAAATAACTCCATTTTGTGTTCCACCTTCTTAGCCACCGGAGGAGAGTGAGAATGGCTCATTGTGACGACCGTCGATGAAGCCAGCGATTGGAAGTGACGGAATGAAGCTACCGACGGAGAGCCGGCGAAAGGAATAAAGAGAATAACGCTTCTTCTAACCAAACCAAATATGACATTTTGTTGAAGTGGCTTCATATAGTCAACAATGTTTTCTCAAACTGTTCAAAGTTCGCAAATTTCCATTTTATGCATTGAATATTTATCCATATATACCATTTGAAGCAAATATTTTTCAAAAAAAAAAAAATATATATATATATATATATATATATATTATTGTAAAATATGAACTTAAACTTCTTACATCTTACCTCAACAAAATTAGAAGAAAAAAAATTAAAGGTAAATTATAAATTCATTTTTGAACTTTTAGGCTAAAAATAAATCCTCTGTAAAGCCTTAAATCCTCTGTTTCCATCCTGAAGTCTTTCTCTTGCTCACTCTATTCTAATGCACACCATTTTTGTTAAAATTAATTACCTTCAATGGCTAGCTTTGCCTCCTGGCACTTGGGTTCTGCATGGTGCACCCGAACTTGGCCACAGTTCACACCGTCCGAGATACTTCCGGCCGGTTCCTTGGCGTTGATTATGGCACATGGGCTTCCGGGAAGGCCTTTGTCATCGGCGACAAACCTTGGTTTGCTTGAAAATAATGTCGAACATCTTTTCTGTGTTCGTATTTGATCGTACTCATTTATGTTTTTCTCATGGGATTAACGTTGAACACCTTTTCATGCCTTTTCATTTGTATCCTCATCTAATTATTCTCGTGAGAATAACCTTGAACACCTTTCGTGCATCTGTATGTGCTTATATTGCCTTCGAGTAATTGCTTTTTTATATATAAACATATGTAGATAGAAAGATTCAATAGCATCAAATCTCTTGAACCTTGCATCCGTAATTTATGATGTAATATTTTTTCAAAAAACTGTAAACTTAAGAAAAATAACGCTATAAACAATTACATTACGAAACAAACTTGCTAACCAGCCAATAATAATCTCGTACTAATCTCATCATTTACATTACTTCTATGATCTTATTACCTCAGAGAATGCATATAGTTCATTTTACATCTGGTAATAACGTGAAGAAATCAATACTATCATCAATGAATTTTTATACAATCACTTGGAAGGACTTTTGAAGTACTTAAAAGCACTTGAAAAGTCTTTCCAAACCAGCCTTTAAGAAAGACAATTTTGATATCATGGAGTAGAGAAAGGAAGCCATAGAGGCAAACAAGATACAAACTATGGTGTTCCAGAAGTAACACAAACAGATTAATCTCATCCATAAATACTTTCTACACTGATTAATGTCCAATCTGACATACCAAATCATGCTCAACAGGCAGTATGATGCACAGGCGTGACTGTGGCCGAGTTTTTCCCTTTTTTTTCATTAGTAATACACAAATGAATTTAAAGAGGTCCCAACAAGAAACATACTCTGAATGCAAACTGCTGAATAAATAAATTACCTACTGCCAACGTAATTCACAGCCCAAAGTATCTATCTTATCAGCCTAGGAGGAAATATCCACCCAAGCAGAACAATGATCTACCTGCAAACAACAAATTCAAGATATCCTTGTTAAAGAGATTTTGTCGCCCGATCACGATAGCTTGATACTTTCACAAATATGGCCAATAATCAACCCCCCCTTTTATCATAAGAAATATGGAACTCCTGTTCTTGGGCCTCTCATCTGATTATTCTCCTCTGTCTCAGTGAAGAACTTCACCTCTCTTTCCTGTTTGAAGTTAACAAACGGTTTGTTGAATAAGATACTTGCATTTTAGAAGAAATGTAATTAAAAACTTTTTTTTAGAAGAGTAGTCACCCAGTGGTTCAAACTCTAAAGATGGAGAAACTATTCAATGGGCTACCCCCTCCTTTGACCATGAAATGTGGGGGAGAGATTGAAAGATATTTGATGTCTATTTATTGTTATAATATAAGAAATATTGAAAAAGCCAATGCCATGAAAATCATAACGTAATGGTGCTTCAACGGATTAAAACACCGAAGGATCAATACTTTTCTTCTTTCAAAACATAAAATAATATGACTAAAGTGAATACTCACCATATTATCATTAAAGCTCAATATAGAAGCTACATTTCCACAACGATAACAATAATTTGGAGCAGACCATACCTGCAAATTCAAGGACGAGATAACCCAATCAACCACATAAAGTCTATCATTATACAGAGAAATAATAACTTTGGCTCTAAATCTTACAGTCACAAGGCCTTTATCCTGAAACATATACTTGAGACCTTCTTGTACAAGTTGATGTGCTCGGCAAACCAAATCAAGTTTATTAATGTGATTGAACTGCAAAAAATAAAATCTGCATAAGCTCCGAAGGAAGTTGTACGGTTTAACTTCAAAACAGATAAAATTACCTCAGAAGTAACCCTGGAACCAAAAAGCCAACCTGCTCCTCGTGGACTCACTGCCCATGTTTCAATATCTTCTGGATCACTCCACATAAGATCACAAAAAGGCCCCTCATGCGGAATTTCACAATTTCTATCAATCACCCTTATCTGTCAGCGGAAGAAAAATGGTAGAAGAAAGGCCTCAAGCCAGTAAAGTTCCAAACTGATCCATTGGAAAATACGATTAAGAAACATTATTCAACAGTTCATAAGAGGAAATCATATCACATCGGACATTATAGTATTTCAAATGTGTTTCGTAAGGTGTGTGAAAGTGTTCACAAGGCAAGTGCCAAGCTGCAGTTATATAAGTTTTTTCCCATCATTTCTTCAAAGAGATCTGCACAGATCTAAATACCAGTAAGAGGACTGTGCATTGATATTGCCATATAATGCAGAAGGTCTCAATCACATATGGTAGAATGGACAATCTACTAAATCAGAGTGGAAATAAACAAACAATAAGTCATGATTAACTGGTTTTTGGAGCCATCCTACCGTAAGGACGCACTGACCTCTAAAACAGGTTTACTCAAACGGAAAAAGGTACCACTATTTACATTCTGAAATGCTTCTCGAGCACATGAAAACTTGGGGGGGGGGAAGGTATAGGACAAGAGAGAGAGGTTGTAATTTTAAAGAATATAAGGAAACCTGATTTATGGTTCGAACATCAGGAGAGAGCCCTCCATGGACACAGAGAACCTGAGATGATAAGAAAACCAATAAAAATGTATAATCACATAAGGGGGCCCAGCAATGATAATTCGCACGTTTATGAAATCAATTGCATATATCCATGCACATAAGATCACATAGTCAGGGGTGGGGGTTTTGGAAGGCAACAAGAGAGAGAGGTTACGGTTCCATCTATAATTGCTGAGAGTGTCAAGTAGTCAAAAACATCTGTACAGTACCGCCATGCATTAGCATTTCCATACTTTCTCTGGCACTCATCATAAAAACCATAAACCTAGCAAGAAAATTGCAGAACCAATGGATATTACAATAAAGTTCAAAACCTTCATATCATGATATCAGCATTCATGCTATCAAAAAAGTATGAAGATCAAGTTTTCAATGTAATATGGAGCAATAACATGATCTCCACTCAATAAGTTCCATTGTTAAGAGGAGGAAATAAAGTAAAATAAAGACTGGAACTATGTCGGTGGAAAATGCATGTAAAACAGCATTTGGGACTAGAACTCGACATAATGGCAAGATCAACCCTTGTTCTCTAGCTGAGCAATCCCCAAACCTTCTATTCACTAAATTCGAATCTATGGCTACAATCTGTCCCCAATAATATAATTATCCCAATTTCATGACCTCAACAGATTTTAAGCCCATTTCCTCACTGGGTTGAACTGTAATCCAAGGTCCTTGCCGCCCTATTCAAAACTCTCATTAATCCAGACATGGCCATACCAAAATTACACAAGCAGGAAAGTTTTAATGCACAATTTTATTCATACCAGTGCTTTAGCCACACAAAAAAAGGAAGATATATGGATAGATTTGAGGTGCCAGATAGTTGAGATGCAGAATACACGCAAATGCAAGGATGGCCATTACTAATTATACAGACTTTCAGAATACTTGTGACCTTTTTTTAAGGCATTTTCTCGACTCTGTTTTCAGAAGGGAAAGGAACATTGGATGGAAATGGGAACATTGACTGTTGAAGGCCTAAATTCTACCGTGTTTTTATACTATTTATGGTGACTTTCAAAATGCTTGTGCACTTGAGAAAAGGCATTTTCTCCACATTGTTTTCAGGAGGTGAATAGAAATTGATGAGATGGAAAAGTAGCTTGTTGAATGCCTAAATTCTCCAACTTATCCAACAATGCAAATCCAGGGTCTATCAAAAGTATGGGTCTTAAAAGCAGACATTCATCTCCTTTCTTTTCCATTATAGACATGTAGGTTTGAAATACATTACTTCATAAGAGAGATAGCATCACAACCTCAATAGACTAAACAGAAGATTCAAACCTGTGTAAGCTGTCTACTCTCATGGTTTCCTCGCAATAGTGTGATGTTAGCCGGATATCTAAGAAGACAAATAAATTTTCTTAGGAAAGGAAATATTGTTGGTCTTTCAAAAGAATTTCATAGCAAATAACAGAATAGAAAATGAAAATCATAGCAAATCAATTTTTAGGACTTCTTTTGTATTAGTAGGTGACAAATAAGTGCAACCCATATAAAAGGCCTATGAAACAAGGGGCTAAATGATAAAATGAGCAAGTACCCTCTTCTCACAAAACAAAAGGTGCATACATCTTCAGCTATAATGAGCATAAAATTACACAAACATGAATTATATGGCCCTGCAAACATGGAGAGTTTTTTTTTTTATTTTTGATAAGAGACAACATGGAGAGTATTTTTCAAACCCAGAAGCAAGCTTAAAACTTTACCTGGCTTTAAGAAGCAAAAGAATCGTAAAAACTTCGAGACTGTTATAACCTCGATCAACAAAATCACCCTGACAATGAATAGTTAGTATTAACCACCCCATAGGATCATCAATTGACAGTCATAAATTGTCCAAAAAAAAAAAAATAACATACCATGAAAATATAATTTGTCTCCGGTACATGACCTCCGGTCTGAAAAAGTTTCATCAGGTCATGAAACTGACCGTGAATATCACCACAAACCGTTACAGGACTGTTGACAGGTTGCACATTAGATTCCTCAATGAGGATCTCTTTTACCTGATATGCAGAGAGCATGAATCCATTAACAGTCCAATTCATTAGGTTATCCAAATTTCCCAACATCGCATGCACCCACGCATACAGACATTGCCAATAAGAATCCAATGAAAATAGTAATAATAAACCAGCGAACGAATAATCAAGTTCTTTCAAGTTTCAACCGATAATGTCGTTTACAATGTAAGTGTTGACCTCGATTAATAAACAGTGACTTCTTAGGCGAGAGTGCGTATTGCGCATCCGGGTCAATATACACAAGCACAAACACAATGTCGAAAATTCCCAATCAGAATTCCACATGTGAACCCCAAATTGATCTTTGGGAATACAACTAATAACCTCAACATCCATTTCCCTAAAACTTCATCTAAGCACAGTTCGTGTACAATAAACGTAAACCAGTGAGCTACGCGATAAAGTTTCGCGAAAAGCTGAAGAAACTAAAAACTCAATCCAGGAACATCAAGCATAAACCCTGTTAGTAGAAGCAAAAGCCGCAGCATCAATGAAGATACAGAAAGGTTTTACACACGAGGTTCCAAAATGTATAACCCCTAACTATCCTCAGATACGGACGGGTTTGAAGATTAATCGCGAAAACAACTGATTGAGGGTGGGAATAAAAACAATAAAACCTTACGAATTCACAAAGAAGTTGAAGCTCGTCTTCAAGAAGGTGCTGGCCTTCCTTGACCTTAGCGATCCACTGGTCCAAATCCATGTAAGAAGAGCGACAATGGAGAATGGAACGAGAAGAAAAGGCAACCCTAGAGAGAGAAAACTCCGATTAATTATATGGAGGCTGTGATTAGCCGATTGAAATTGAAATTTCAGTGGAACGAGCCGACGCTCACCAAACAGATCCGTCCAACCCACCGCCCCCATTTTGTTAATTTCAGAGAAAAACACCTCTGTTTTATAAATAATTTTTTTGTAAAAATAAATAAATCAATCAAAATAATTATTCATTTCTTAAATTGATATATAATCCACAGCTGCTCGATTTTTTTAATTACATTCCAATTATTTGAATTACACAATTGTTTTTTTACGTCATTTGATACGCAAAATAAAAAATGTACTTCAGATTATAAATTTTTAGTTTTTTTTTTTATTAAATTGATGTATCTTACACTTAATGACTAAATAACTTAACGATTAAATAGTTTAATAGAATGTACATCATTTAACTGGTGTCTATTTAATTCGTTGGCTTTCGTTTATTTTCTTGGAAAAACATCAATTGAACTAAACATTATATAATTTAGACATCACGTTATTTACGGTATGTATTGTTATAATTATCATTGTTTAGTCGTGTACTTCATTTCAATAAATCATCATCTCATCATTTATCGTTCTCTTTTAGTTTAAGTATACTATAGACTAAGATGTCATGTCATGTTTTTTTTTTTTTTTTTGTAAGTTAATCCTTCTAGTTTTTTCGTCTGCCTTAAAATTTTAATTATTTTTCTCTTTTTTTTTATGTGTGTTTTCTATTTTCATATTAAAAAACTAAATATCAACTATGTAATTTGGTTCTCCTTGTTTTCAAATTTAAATATCAACTATGTTTTTTTTTTTTTTCATCATGACAGCCTATAAAAGAAAAGATAAAATTTAAATAAGAAAAAAAACACCAAAATTAATAAATGATATTGTTCAAAATATTATAACGGAAATACAATTATAAAAAAAAACTAAAAAATGTAAAAATTAATTGACATCTTGGAATGAATCTATGTGACTGCACAACTCTCGAACGCTCTTCCACCTCGATCGACAGTCTGCAAATACCTTAAAAATAAAGGAATGAGTATAAAATATACTTCGTAAGCAACTTATTTATAGGTTTTCATCCCGTCTATGACATAGCAAGTGACCACAAGCTTTACTCTAAACTTTAAGTATGGATAGTGGATTTAGCATGATAATTTGTCTTTATTCACCTTCCTATTTATATTTTAGAATTTTAATTTTAATTTTAATTTTAATTTTAATTCCAGTTAAAGTAAATGTCTCACGTTTCAAAAACTTTTATGTTCCAAACCTACCAAATACGTTATATTTTAAACTTGTAAAATCATATTTAATTCAACCTTTTTATTGGTATAAATTTATTTAACTGATACAATAATTATAGTCTAAAATTAGACGTAAACGGATTAATTATTGAATGAAATAAACCAAAATAATATTTAAGTCATAAAATATAAAAATCGCTCCCGCGGTGCGAAATTGTTGAAGCCCCACGTATATAACTGTAATTGTAAAATTGGTTGGGAAACGAGGGAATCATCTTTCATAAGAATTGGCGCGGGAAGATCAAGGAGAAAAGCAGAAAGAAAATGTCGTGTTCAAGGGCGTCGGATTAGGGTTGCCTTCTACGAATGCCAATTCCAGTTGCAATTTTCCTTCTAATAAGAATCTTCCTTCAAACCGTGAATTTCAACCAATTTCACTTCGTTGTCGTGTATTGCTTTCTGAAAATGGCGACGATTCTAAGTTCGATGCCGATTGCACTTTTACATCAACTAGAGGAATAGAGAAGCTGGTGCCGATGGCTCTGGAACTTCTGCTAGAAGTCGTCGATTGCTTAAGCTTCGCGAAGAGAAGCGCAAACAGGAACATGATCGTCTCCACAGTTATCTTGCCGTCTTTTCTGTATGATTGTGTGTTGCGTTGTCTTCACTCTGTTTGTTTGCTAATGAAATCGCCGGGAAAACGGCTGATTGTTTGAAGATGCCTGCAAAAACGAGGCGGAATTTCGCGCTGTTCCTAGCGATAGCATCGGCAATCAGAGGCAATGAGGAACAAGGTATATCGGTCTAGCATATATTCATCTTCTTCATTTGATTTTTTTATTATCGATTTGTTGTAATTATACTTGCTCATTCACTACGTCATTTCTTGTTTGCACTTGTCTTATTGTGTCAGTTTTTAGAACGTATTGTTCAGATTTTTTTTCACTTCGGTTTGAGAGACGAGAAACCTTAACAAAATGCTTGAAACTAGATTGTAGCATATTCGCAATTTAGGATTTAGTGTTTCCTTGATATATTCTTAATTCGTCGGTATGACGTCTGAGAAGATAAGATTCGCCTTATTATTTTCTCTCATTAACAAGCATCGAGTAGGATTGTCGTTATGTATCTTGTTGATATAGTTGATTATGGTGCATACTGTCGTGCATGGATGTGTCATATCATGGAAACTTGAAAAGTGCTAGGTAGCATTCTCAACTCAAGAAGGAGCAATTTCTGGATGATTGACGGAACTATTTTATTAGTTGTCGTTTCATAAGCCGCTCATTTCACTTCTATTTAAGTATTGTCTCTTCAAAACATTTTGCTGAAGATCTCATATGACTAGTAATTCGTACAGAACTATCTTGTAAATAAACTTATTTCACATCTATTGTCAAGCCCAAGCCGTTAACTTCTTATTAGAGTATTAAAACCTGTTAAGTCTCATGCAGTGAACATTGATTGCGTTCCCGTAGAACTGATGAGCGGAATAAGCTTCTTTCTGTGAGGCATTAACCAGAAGAGTAAAAACTTCTAAAACTTTTCATGCAATTCCTGTTAAATAATGGTGTTTCCTTTTCTTTGTACATAATTACATCCTCCAATTTGATTGAGGCAGGTTGAAGAGAGTTCGGAGGAAGGTTAGAGATTTCCAAAAAACAGGTTTCATCCATGTTAGAGAGTAATCTATTTAACAAATAGCCCCTTGTTTACTGTCCTTTTTTGTCCCCACTGGTATAACCTTATTTCTGGTGCCAACGTCAAAGCTTAAGCCTCCATCATAAAAGAAAAGATTTTATCCCCATTTCCAATTCCATTTTTCCAGCCATCGACCACTACTCTTTAAATTGATTTCATTCTTCTCAACTTCTCAGGTTTCAAATTTGTTTTGAAGCAAACGTTTAAGGCCCAAAAGGTTTCGGGTCCTGGGTTCTATTAGTCCAGCAAGTTCTCTTTTAAAGCAGCTGTATCTCAAGTAAATACGTTTTTCTTATGGCTTCCACACATGATAGAATTTAGTTCCAACTTTGGGTTTCCCAAATGTGCAAGTCATCAATTTTTTGATTGTATTCTTTTACATTCTTTTGATACGTTGAAGAATGATCGCATATTGTTACTGCTTTACGGGCAATACCATGGTTATAGATGCTTTTCTTGTCTTCTGAGCTAATTTGGGGATGGGAATATGCATTCTGGTTGTTTATTTATATGCTCATGAGTGTACTAGTTAACTAGATGACGTATATTGATGGAGGTTGGTCATAATTTAAATGTTAAAACATGATAAATTTCTATGTCAATGACTATATAATCACTTAAAACCTCATACATTAAGTTTTTTTTTTTTTCCTTTTTTTTTGGGGTAAATTTGGTAGTAGTCCAGTGCAGAACTGCACTATCCCAGGACACAGTAATATTGGAGTTCTGCTATACATTTGTTGACATCTTTGAGCATCCTGGTCCTCGTTTCTTGATTAGCTGATTTTTAAATTTAACCATTGTTTTTTATGCACTTACATTTCATGCCTGTTCGCTGCATGTCTTGGAAATTGTTCAGTCATCCTAATGAAACATGAGGAAGAGTAAACCCCGTAGTCACATATTACTAAGCTGCTAATTAAGAGAAAATTGTTCATATTATCATCAATGTGGTGACAAATTGTTCATTAACTTTTTCAGACGTTTGAACATTACCATTTTAAGTTACTGACCATCCTTTTGCCTCTGTTTTTCCGTACAGCTTCAATCCTCTTGGTTCCTACATATGTTTGAGCTGATTGGATCACCATCCGATTGAGATGTTGATCTTATTGGCAGAGTATGTTAGTTCTTATTGCCTTAGAATGATTTTCCCTGTCAATTATTATTTTCCTTGAGCTGCTTAAACTTTATAATGATCATCTTCTATTTTCCCCCATTCTCTTGCATCCATGAAGGACTTTTAACTTGTAGCCTATATTACTTACATTACAAGTAAACATGTAGGTTATCCAGTCCTGGTATGTCATTGGTCGATTGGAGGACTTTTAACTCTTCAAATTTGTAGGTTCTTCATACATCTTTGAACCTAATTAATTTATACTTCGTTAGAGTGCCTTACCTTAATTATTTGAAGTCAATAACATGTTTTTTTTTTCACCTCTTACGCAAATACAAATTAATTCTTCAGTTATTTTCTTTACTTGTGTATTGATATTTTGTCTTGTGGGGATAATATTTACATGATGAACGTACTGCATAACTACTAAATTATCTTGTTAGCTTTATATGGTTGAAAGTAGGCACCCTAGTTTGGAGGTACTCTGGATCACAGGCTCAGACTATTGTAAAACTGAACTTTGGTCAATGTTAAAAACGCTTACTTTTATTTTGGGCAAAGGAAAAACACGTTCAATTGCAAATTGATTTGGTTTATTCGAAGGCTGTTTAAATATCCTACAAACGTTATATTCTCTACATTTTTTTGGCTGATTCCCAAAAGATAGGGACGGCAAAACCAACCCGGTTAGGTGGTCAGTCTCTAACACCTTTTCTTAATGACTTAATGGGACCAAATCTATGGCTGCTGCGTGAATTGCAAAATTTTTGGATTAAATTTTTTTCATTGAATTGTTACTCAAACTAAAACAACAAATAATTGCAGCTGGCGAATTCAGCCATGGAGTGCAATTCCTCTCTATAATGCAGATAAAGGGTTTGAAGTGATGCCGCCATCATTTCATGATATCAGTGATGTAGAGTTTCAGGATAACTGGGGCCGGGTTTGGTAAGACTTCTTGAAATTAACTGTGTTCCATTATTCGACGTTAATTTGTATGCTTCTCTGCATGGAATTCAAACAAGTTGTGATAATTTATGGCAGGGTTGACCTAGGTACGTCTGATTATTTCGCCATTGATGTACTATTGAACTGCTGGACTGTTCTGAGCTCATAGTAGGTACTCATCCTATCTAATTGAGGAACTTGTTATTTTTTACTTTGACACGCAGATATTTAGCCATCCAGTAAGTCATCTTTGGAGGACGTCGTATGAGCGATTGGGAAGAAGGGATGGCAAGCCCCGAGAATGGTACAAGTATTTCAAAATCTTTCTTCTTTAGAATCTTGGTGTATTTAATGCCTCCTCTATATCCTAAATCTTCATCTTTATTTAAACTTCCGCCAGAATAGTAGGAAGTTTTTAGGCTTAGATCAGGTAGTTTGAGAATTTTGCATTCAGAAAATAAAAAAATGGCCCACACGCTCTTCTCCTTTAGGAAAGGTAATACCAATTAGACGTGAGAATCTTGGAGGGAGGATTGAACCAAAAAAAGTAGCCCTGCAAGTAATGCCTTAGCTAAGTTAAGTTGTGAAACTCTTCGTTCTTATGCCCACCTCAATTTGTTAGGGAAAAAAATGTCCCACAGCCATAGTTAAAATATATATCATCCATAGGGAGGTTAAAGGTTTAAATTCTCATCCATATGTTTCAATAAATTAAAATGTCTTACCGGAAAAGAAAAAGAACCCAAGGTAAAAGGTAATTGGCCATCCTCTGTTGGATCAAGGATTTCTATGGTGTAAAATTGGGACTTTCATTCTAAAACAAAAAACAACAATTATAGGTCCTCATGGTCATGAGAATCCTTGAACAGAACGGCCCGTGAATTTTATTGCTAGTTTTTTAGTATAATAAATGGGATAAAAGAGGATTTAAACATATGCATCATGCTTATCACTCCATTATATCATTCTTATGGCCCCAGCCCCAAAAAAGTTGTTTCAGTACAGGTCAGGGTATCAAAAAGCAAAACATATTATAAGTAGATTTAATTATTATATTAATTTAGTCCTAAACTTTCAGAGAAAATATGTTATAGGTTTCTGGACTTGTAATAATAGAACTTATTTAAGTTTGGACAAGCAAGCAAGCAGCAGAAATAAGTTTAAAATATAATGAATTGGATGTGTGTGATATTACAAGAAAGAACCAAAGACAACGAGTAGTTTTGATAATATTCAGAAACAAAGTGGTAATAATGGTGTACAACATTTAGGGGAAAAGGGAGGGTGGTAGGAGGGTTAGCCATAAGAAAGAAAGGGTCGGTCAGGTCAGGTCAGGGTGGTAATGGCAACTCACTCAATTCCCTGCTGCTACACAGTTAGTTAGCCCTTCTTTTTTGTGTGTATGTTTCGAGGTATGTGCAGAATTAGTCAGTCTCGCGTCGTCAATATACTGCCTCTACTTTCCTTTTTACTTAGTACTATACTTTCAATCCCCACAATCATTGAAACTCCTGCAGTGCAAGATTCAACTCCTGTGCTGACTTTGCTACCGATCCCCTTTTTCTGCGCCCAAATAACACATAATTACTGCTTCTCCTCGAATTACTTGGAAACTCTGCTTACCTAAACTAAGATAGTTCATATAATTAGAGTACCTTATAAGAGCTGGCAGGCAGCGCTTGACTTTTTCAAGCTCGATGAAGCAGATATTACACCGCTCCAACCTACCAATAAAACGCTCAATTTAATTCAAAAATAAAGTGTAAGAGCAATCTGGGGATGATGATGATGAAAAGCTTATTAGTGAACACACACACCTTTGCTCCGCCTCAATGTTCACGCCAACAGATGATGTTGCCGATAACGTTGAATAGATCACTGACCCAAATGTCCTCACCAGCTTCACTAGCATTTCCATAGAAATGTCTAAAAACCTATTGTTCCACAGATGAAACAGAATAGTTACATCCTGTTTTTGTTTTCTCACACTTTCTTTAAGGCTCTTTTCACATTTCTTAAGAAATATTTGAATCTTTTTAGGAAGTAAGATTACAAAAAACAAAAGAAAGCCTATAGATAGAAGTAGTTTATAAGCTTAATTTCAAAAGATATCAAAACGGAACCCCTAGGTAGATGTCAAGAGTTTAACTTCAAAATAAGTTTTCCAAAATAACACAAACCATAAAGTTTTTTTTATTTATCAAAACATGGAAATTAGCCGACGACCTCTTGTGTGTGTGTGTGTGTGTGTGTGAGAGAGAGAGAGAGAGAGAGAGAGACCTGTCCAAGTCACTTTCAAGGAGGCCAGAAAGAAGTGGGAGAATACAACTGCAGATATCCAGAGTGACAACTTCAATTCTATTTGTCAAAATACTAATTACATCGGCGGCAACCTGCATCCACGGGAACCCATGTTTAAAATAATGATTATTATAATTATAATAAAAATAAAAATTATAGTTACCGCATGATCGGCCATTTTTTCCATTGCAGAAACCGCCCCTTTGATGTCATGCCTTTCCCAATATCTATACACGGCCTAGAAAAGAAGAATCAAATGCATTATTTTTAAAAAAATCGAACAATAACAGATAGCAACTGAAGCGATCATAATTACCACCCAACGCGCAAGTGCCTCAATGAGCCATAATCCCTTTTACGCTTTAAACAAGACTCTACCCTAATGTCAACTCATGTAGTTCTCTAAATGAAAAGGTTATTTTTAGAAAAAACTCTATCTATTTATGTTCCATAAAAAATGCTAATAAAAGATTAACAAAAGAATATCATATTTTATAATATTCTCTAGCTTAAATTATAATAAGCTTGCTTAATAGGTGTCTCAACTCAAATTCACATTTGTTTAAAGAAATAATCTACCTATAAAATAAATATAAATTTGAATTTTATATCTAATAAAACACTAAACGAATTTCTAGTAGATCTGTGGATTTTAAAAAATTCAAAAGTTTTAAAGACCAAGTTTGAAATTTGAAAATTAAAAAACAGTTTAACTTATTATGTACCATGATAAATGTATAAAATAAGAATTAAATCTTTTTTGCAAATGTACGCACGCAGCAGTTAAGAGTAGAAAGTTCTCATTACTTGTAATTTTGCTGACCGAGATTGCATCGAGTTGACAAACTGATCATGTTGTTGTAGAACATTTTCTATGGTATGCTCATCGCTTGCAGGTGCTACTGTTTCTTTCTCGGGAGATCGATGATAATCTCTCTGTCAAAACATCAGATTAAGGAAGAGAACAAAAGTGCAAGCAGATTGAATATACGAATTATGAACAACAAAAAGGGTAAGCATTCAAATGAGTTCATACCCCGTTATTTAATGGAAGATTTTCCAGTGCAGCTGCTCTTCCAGCGGAGGCATTGTATGTCAACCGGCTAAAATTAGATCTCTCTCTTTTCTCCCAATCTACATGAGAACGTATTCTCCCTACATATATTACCAAAATAAAAATTGTTAAGGCACTATTTGTAGTCAAGGAAGAAAAAAAAAACAAACAAGATCTAAGTATGACAATACCTCCTTTTGTCGCTTCGGGAAAAGATGTGTCCCGGCTTAGTTTACGCCCTCGAGATTCATCTAGAACAAAGAGAAGTAACACAGAAGCATGAGAGCAGAGTAATAAAAAGAAAAAAACTGCATATAAATAACGTAAAGATGCAAGGAATCTTCTGTGGAGCAGATAGTCATTGAATTGAACCAATACCATGCAAGGAATTCCTATTATCTGCAATGGTGCCCATATCATTGGCCTTCAAACCTCTGGATTCAGAAAGGACGGAGATAATTGGGTTATCCACTTCGTCTCTACCATTTGGAAACCTCCTATTATCAGTAGTTTTCGATAGCAATGGTACTCGAACTGCTCTTCCAGCACCATCAAATTCCTTTCTAGAATCATCCTGCTCATTCCTTGAATTTGTCCTGGGTAGTGGTGTTGTTCTTCCAGAAACATCAAATTCTTTTCTAGAATCATCCTGCTCGTGCCTTGAATTTGTCCTGGGTACTGCCACTGCTCTTCCAGCAACATCAAAATCCTTTCTAGAATCGTCGTGCTCGTGCCTTGAACTTGTCCTGGGTACAATTACAGGTATCACGTCTGATTTATTGAAGATTGGGTTGTTGAATGCTGAAGTAACCTTCACAGAGTTTCTCTTTGGTACCACTGCACTAGGTACTGTTACTGAGCTAACCGAATTAGTCTTTGGGCCAGCATTTGAATTGATCCTCTGAGGAGTACTTGGTCCATTTCCTGTGGCTTCAATCAGTAAGGTAAACAAAATCATGGATGTTTACTCCAAGTTTTAGTAAATCGAAAGGTTGTGCAATAAAAAACAAGAAGAATCCAATACGAAGAAGTGAAATCCAATAAATGAAAATAAAGTCAAGAAAATTGCTTACATGACAAAGATTTTGGATCCTTGACAACGTCTAAATTTTGTGAAACTGACAACCTTCCCGATGTTTTGGTTTCCTTCAGTTGTGGTTCAGAAGTTTGTGATACTGACAATCCACCAAAACCAGCCTTGGCATTGCTTTCATTTTGCAGTGGTAGATTACTGCTGGATTTAGGCTCTAATCGACCATTTAGTCTGTTAACATTATTAATTGCATAGGGTTCTGTGCGCTGTGCAAGAGGCAAGGAAGTAATTACATTGGGATTTTGTTTTTCATGAACAATAAATTGAGTAAAAGAATCGTGAAAAACTGGAACAATTAGGTGGGCAATCTCTATACATAGAGTAAATGAATAATGCATTGTACCGTAATGTCTACAACCCACACTCCAACACAGCTCTGATTGTATGAACACCCAAGAAGTTTCCCCTCATGAACAGTAAGATCGGACAGCCTGGACCAACCGACTTCCACACCGTCATGACATCTTATTGGTTCCCATGAGAAAACCTACGAAGTAGCACCATCGTATAAATAAATTTTAAAAAAATGAAAAGGTTGCAGTTCTAGAGAGATGAACAGCCATTTGAACACAAAATATTACCTTCAAATTTTCATGCAATCCGCAAAGCAGTGTCCTCCCATCAGGATTAAAAGTTAAACAACGGACACCAGTGGTCTGAAACAGACACAAGAATAAGAGATCTCCTAAAAGAAATTATAAGACAGTCCCCTAACAAAATATTCACTCTTTAGGCATTTTTATTCAAAAGCCAGGACAAGAAAATTGCATTTAGAAAGATACCTCAGGTCCAGCTGAACCAATCAACTCAAAGGTTTCTAGGTCCCAAAATTTAACCGCTTTATCTGCTGAACCTGATCAACAAAAAGAAATTACAAGCAGATATAGTATTTCACATATGCAAAATCCACGATTTAAATTTCAGGCCTCAAGCAAAAAAATTCTGAAATACACATAATTCGATAACAGTTCCACATAATTCTTTTTTGCTTACATAGTAGGAGAGGGACTAGGATAAAAGTGTATAACAAACCTGTTGCCAGCAAAAATTCATGAGGGTGAAAGTCTATACACTGAATCGGACCCTCGTGGGATTTGAAATCATGCAACAACTTTCCAGCCGTTAAATCCCAGAGCTGTTAAATTAAAATACATTAAAGACATACTAGAAGGCTCCTTTTGAATTGGAAATGAAAATTACATGAAAACACAACAGCAAATTCAGCATGAGAATAAAGTATCCCATTTTCTAGAAACAACATAATAAACATATAATCGTTAATACAAATTATATAATAAAGAAAATGACCTACATCAAAATTGTTTGCAAGTCTACAACTGAAATTCTACCTTCATTGCCAAAAACATTAGAATTATCAAATTTGTATTCAACTGATCTGTTGCACTCACCCACCAAAAAGGAAAAAAGTAAAGAACCCCACAGTAGAGTTAATTGGCTCAAATCCACATAGACCAATGCCTTTCATTTCATTAAAAGAAAACCATTGAATAAATCTGATGGAAGAACCCACAACACAAAAAGCTCACAGTGGTTTAAACCAAACAAACCATGAAAAATTGCAATCATCAAACCAACTATCAATATTTTCATTCTTCT